GGAAGAGATAAACTTTTGGGAGGTATGACTAAATAAGATACAGTCGCGTCTACTAGTTGCTACGGGTGAAACGAAAAATAAACACTTTCCAAGATGGCCCTGTCATTTGATCGTGACATGAGTTTTGATTTCCAACGAAAAGTTGGTTGGTTGGAATGTGTGATTTTGTCCTATCGGAAACCGAGGAAATGGACAGTGTAGGATAGACCTGTCGACCAATCCAGCATAGCTTGTGTTAACACATAACTGGCTGCAATGAAGTAAGGATAAAAACATCTGAACTTGCTGAACACATGGTTACTAGAAAATACGAGATGGAATGGTACAGAACACCTCGTTTTGAGGTATACGACTATTCTTCATCCAAGCCTCAGATTATTGAGTCTTTAGACATAAACAAATCATCCAACATCCTGAATGTGAGGAATGAATGTAGGAAATTGAGCAGGAACCATCTGTGGCTAGAGGATAGACTTAAGGCGAGACATGAAAAATGGGATGAGGAAGAGGCTTGAATAGATTCGAGTCTGATTAGGATTGATCAACTTCACTTGAATTGGACTTGAATACACCAAATAGGCAATACCAGATATGCAAAAAAGGTTGCAGGCTTATGCAAAATTGTTTCGTCGACAATCCCAACAGAGAGATGTGATATAGAAAAGGCCCAGGCTTCCGTGAAGCCCACATCTTCCCCACGACCCGAAGGCACTCGTGGCAGTCTGGCGTAGTGCTTTACGTGACGAGAATATCTGTTGCACTGGCACAACCCGGGTTCGAGTCCCGCCGAGTTGCTAATGAGGCCAGTCCAGTTGAGTCTGGATGGATGGCGGATTCCTTTTGACCAGCTGTCGATTGGCTTTACCTGAGCATTCATGCTGACGCTGTTTCCGAGGCAATCTCCTTCGACTCCGGTGAACAGGTACTCTGATGATGTCCGTCATTAGAGCTCTATTAAAAAAAAAAAACCAACAAAAAAAACAACAAACCACAAATAATTAATAACAACCATAAACACACACCAATATTATAATAAATAATCCCATTGACTTGACAAATCAATATTCAACGTTAAACTATCTGTGTAATATCAAGAATTCTCCACCGTTAACACACAAAATTAAAATTCTATACTTAAGCTATGTTGTTACTCGAACAATAAGAAGTATCTTCTATCCTTTATGTGTAAAATAAACATTTAAATTAAACTAACTTGTTTTAAGATCTAGACCAAACGCCTAGAAACAGTGTAAACATAAAAACCAATTCCTTCAAAAGAACTATTGTCTATTATCAAATACAAATACACTTGTTCGACCACAGACGGACACCATCAGAGCCTCGGAAACAGCATCAGCATGAATGTTCCGGTACAGCCAATCGACAGCTGGTCAAGAGGAATCCGCCGTCGTCTTCTGGTGCAACCGACCTTCGAATCTCTTCACGCAACACTTTCACTCGAAATGGAAGTAAGTTCAACAATTGTGGAACAAGAGATTCCTCAAAACCCAACTTTTCTTCGCATACAAAAAAGGCTATGTTGAATTCAGTAAAAGCGTAAGGCCAACTCATAAAATTGTGAGAAAACTCAACTACCAGTCCTTTTAGCAACTTCCTCAGCTCTTATATGAGATCTGCTAGAAGTCTCTAAAACCTATTTATAGGCCAAAAATATGCGCTCGATCGCTTAGGCAGGGAAACAGCTGACTCTACATCAATTTCCTCTTCCTACCCCTGCATTCCGTGTTAACAACAATATGTGTTGGACATAAAATGTCCAACCAAATCACAGAATGCCTCGTTAGGATCGCAAAGTTTGCTATGCAGATTGAATATGACTGCAGGGGATCAGCCTCATTTTTGGGCTTATTGCATTTGGCGCGTTTTCTTCTAAACGCTGACTTCTCGGTCTGACGATGTCGGTCACAAACTAAAACTTTGCACGGATTCTTTCGGTTTTTTGGACAAGACTGTAGGCCGGACACTTCTTCGCTCAATCCAACAGTCTTCACTTTTATTCTGCGCTTCCCGTTGGGACAAATTCACAAATTACTTGCAATCGCCTTTTCATTTAAAATGTAAAGTCATGTCACAATAACTCACAAATGAATTCTTCACAGCCCGGTTTTGCTTTAGATATTGACTGTGAACAACTTTTGCTTAATTAATAACCTTAATTGCAGAAAGGCTGTTGAGCCGCCTGCAAATAGGAGCTGACTCTTCTGCTCTTTCCCCGTTGAGATCACTTCCACCTCGAGTGGAAATGGCTGATCCCTCTGGATCGGCTGCCGTCGTTTGTATCAACTGGAACAATCTAGTTGACATTGTCCTCGAAGCAATCTCTTCAAATCGGCTGAAAATGTGCCTAGCTTTCGTCCCTCACATGAAGGACATTTCAGAGTAGTCCAACATACTTACAGGCAATACAACTGGCAGATAAGAAAAATCACACCTTTCGCCCTGAAAGGTGTATATATATATATATATATATATATATATAAAGTGATAAACCTTCTTTATTTATTTGTTTAAATCGGTTGTAAAACATTATATCCGGACGAAAACTTGGTACGTTTTCGCCCGAATCGAAGTAGCTTGCTTCGGGGACAGTGTCAACCTTGATGTTGTTGAGCTTACTTCTATTTTGAGTAAAAGTATTTGATGAAGAGATTCAAATGTCGATTTCATCAAAAGACAACGGAGGACTCCTCAAGACCAGCTGTAGATTGGCTTTACTGGTGCAATCGGCTGCGATTTCGGTGAAAACATGCTAAGCTTTCGTCCCTCGTTTGACGAACATCATTAAAGCAGGTTAGCATTATTGAAACCATATTGAAGATAACATGTCAAGAAAGCTCACCGGCGTCTCCCTAAACCTGTATATATACTCTATTTCTGGCTACTTCGATGAGGCTTTAATGCTTCTATAAATCCAAACGACGGCAGCTGACCACGAAGAGTCATATTCTGGTGAAATGTGCTTAATTTTTATTGAATTAAATGAGCTTAATATTTATGAGAAGACCAATTCAATATTTTCTTCTAACCACGTTTTACATTAAAATGATAAGCCTTGTCACAATAAGATGACTTGTTTTTCGAACGACTTTTAGACTTGGACATAGAATTTTTATTTCGAAGGAAAGGTTAACTGGAAAACCAACGAGGATTGCCTTAAAGTGGAGCCTTCTGGATTGTACGAAAAAGTCCCCGGCTCACCGTCATGCTACTTCGTTGAACCCTTAACTGTCTCGTCACCACAGCCATCACCAGAGCGAGAAACCTTAATTTTGTACAACCGTATCAGCATGATAATAAATCAAACGAAAAGGTGGCCTGTTGCAAACCTTTTCGTCCCTTTGTCACATGTTGTGATCGTAACAAGGCCTTCTCGTGACTTATTTGGTGTAGTAAATGGTGTTTGATAGGATCCCGGTTTTATATTAATCGCTATTCACGGTTCCTATGTTGCTCTTGGCTTAATTTGACTGTCTTTGGTATATTTTTATCTTATTTATAATATAAAGTCGTGCTGAGTAACGAAATTATGTATCCCAATTTCGTCTTGATTATTTTACTTGCTCTTATTAATATTTTTGTTGTTTGAATGTGATTTATTTTTTAAATTACTTACCAGTTTGTCTTAAGCGATGTTGAAGCACTATCTAGCAAAAATAATGATATTAAAATAACTATGAGTATAATTGATGAAATAACTTCGGTTAAAGTGCACTATTCTTTAATGCTATTATTTGTACCTGTTTTTTAATTTTTTCAAATTTATCCTGTTCGCAAATGTATTTAAATTGATTTATTTATTTCACCAGTATGTCTTGGTTGTGTGCATACAATTGTGACGTTTGTTTCTGTCCATTTGCATAAAATGTATTACGTGAAGTTAGTTTATGAAAAGTAATTAGATGAGGTTGCTGTTATTTCCTTACTTAAATTACTCAGTTTATGACTCTGTAATGATGACAAATGCTATTGTATTGTATGCATGAAATGTTCAAGTCATGCGAGTTGTGAATAGCTCTAACCAGACTCGAGGTCTCTTAGTGCCCTGATAGTTCTTGGTGCTCATTTTCTCTCTTTTTTCTGAAGCCTAACAAGCGTTCATAAAATGTTCTCGAAAATTAGGCACCAATAATATTCCACTCTCTCATAGTTTTGCAAGTTGTCACGTCGGCACAATTAGGAACCGAATTGAATGGTATGCCTAGCTATCCAGCCATAAATAACAATTTTCCTTCATTCCACTCGTATGTATTGAAACATAATTATGTATTAATCGTAATGGATAATTATGCTTAATTGTTATATTTCTCAATCTACCGAGTCCCAAGTTCGGGTAAGGTATGCTTCCTCGACAAAAGTTTAGTACGGGTTCATCTGAGTCAAAGACTTCTTTGCACAATCTTCATTTAAAAGCAAGCCTTTTACTATTTCCGGGTGGCCTAATTCACGAATTTCTTCAAACCAACTTTTTCATGAAAATGAAAAGTTGATTCACACAACAAAGCTAAGGGATTCATCAAAACCCAGCTTTTCCTCATAGACGATTACATTTATTGCTACACTTTCCATCACTGAAATCGTCAGTTGTCACTCCGACCAAAATGCTCGAAGATGTGTCCTGAGGGTCTTATGGATAGAAATTGTATGCATTAAAGACCGATGAACAATTCTACAGTGGTACTAGGAAGTTTTGGTTGCTAGACTCCATGATGAAGCATACTCTTTCTTTCATTCGAGAGCCATTATGAGGCCAACAACACAGTTCAATCAAAGTATAGCCCTTGGATCCAGCATGTAGTCACATACGGACAACGAGATTGCAGTTGTCTGCCCCGTCTCGTGTGGGTGATCATACGTGACCTCTTTAGTCTTTATTGAATGTCACACCCACCAAAGTGCTCTA